CTGAACATTACTTACGCGCCAGAAGCAATTCATCTGTCAGCCTCCGAGTACGCGGAGCAACTGGGAGAATGCTTCAACATTTCGCCCACACCACTCTCAACTCCGTACCGCAACACCAGCACCAACTACAAACCAGACAACAAACCACTATCACCCGCAAGACTTCAACTGTACCAGCAGCAATTGGGTTGCCTGCTGTTCGCCTCTGTCACCTACCGACCCGACCTCTCGTACATCGCCAGCAAACTGGCGCAGTATTCCCGCAAGCCAGTAGCTGAGAACCAGCTGGACCTGGAGCGCGCCCTGCAGTACTTCATCTCCACACCTGACATTGGGCTATCCTTCTCCACGCTGACGACAACCTCCTTCAACCTCAATGGCTACGAGATCACGCAGCTGACCCTGCAAATCGACGGTCCCGAACCGGCTTTGTTTTTCGCTTGGAACCGACTGGACCAATCTCCTGGAACTCGCAGAAGCAGGAGCTGGTTGCCCTGTCATCGGCTGAAGCAGAATACATCGCCACGACAGCAGCAGTTCGCGAAGGCTTGTACCTGCAGGAGCTGCTACAGGAGGCGAAGATCCCAACTTCGCCTACCTTTTGCATTCACTGCGACAACCAGAGTGCCATCAGGATCGTGAACAAGCCAGGTTTCGTGAACCGCACAAAGCACATCGCGCTTCGGTACTTCTTCGTCAAGGACGAAATCGACCAGGGAAAAGTTGACCTCGCCTACTGCCTAACTACTGAGATGGCAGCAGACTTCCTCACCAAGCGTCTGCCACGTCAGCAGTACAAGCACTGCTCTGACCTCACCGGAGTAGTCAAGCGAGTCAGCTCCTCCTGCGCCCATGAATGAAGAGGAGTGTTACAATATGAAATTACATGAGAAGGCATTCCTGTATGCTGCAGGAGCTGACTCTACCGAGTACGAAGTCGAGGAGTCAGAAGAGTCGAAGCGACGCAGCAACCGTCTGACCAAGACCGATGCAGGCAGAAACATTTGAAATGAAAAGAGCGGGAACATGTTCAACATGGTTTCCCGCGCCGCAGGGTTTGAATTTGCTGTAATAAGGGAATGTACCCTTTAGAGTACATGGCTAGCCTAGGTCTTTTCGTAGTCCCCTGTATTCTTATATAAACTTAATGTATACATGCTATTATCAACTCAGTCATTTACATCCACTCTGACTTGAGATTCAAACTTCCACTACAACACTACTCTGCGATCAACCCTGAGCGATCCTTCTCTAAGTCCCACTTGGGATTCTAACACAACGGAAGATTGCTAGGTAACGTCGAGTACGGACTCTGTCAGAAGAAGGAGATTTGAATCTCGACAGAAGTGAATAACACAATTCGGTACATGGGTTTATGTAGGAATACAGTGGAATACGAAAGGTCCTAGCTAGCCATGTACTCTGAGGGGGTACATTCCCCTTAGGGCTGATCTAGATGCAGCATCGCAACCGTGCAATTCTGTAACCGTACGCGGTCCGGTAACCGTTTGAACGTTTCCCACGCTTTGCACTTCAAATTCTTCCTACTTGTAACTGTCTCGATAACTGTCTCGTCGCTTGGTTTTTCGTCCTCGCTACAGTCATCTTCGCGTTAAGGATTTGTTACTCAGGAATATTTATTCAACTATTCCATATCATAACACTCCCCTTTATTCCTGGAGGAGCGAAGTCTTAACGCGCTTGATGATGCCACAGATATTTCCGCAGTGGTGATACTGCGACGTGACTGTTTCTTGGTGAGGAAGTCGGCTGCCATGTCACCAGTGGGGCAGTAAGTCAAGAGGACTTTGCCTTTGCCAACCTCGTCTTTGACGAAGAAATAACGGAGTGCGATGTGCTTGGTGCGGTTGACGAAGCCAGGTTTGTTCGCGCTTTGGTTGTCGCAGTGAAGTTTGAAGCTTGCGGATGTCGCGATTTTCACTTCTTGGAGCAGCTCCTCAAGGTAAAGACCTTCGCGAACAGCTGATGTGGCGGCGATGAATTCGGCTTCAACGGAGGAGAGGGCCACCGTTTCTTGCTTATGGGAATTCCAAGAGATTGGTCCGGTAGGCTCGAGACGAAAGAGGAAGCCGGTTCGGGACCGTCGATTTGCAGGATTGGCAGCATGATCTGCGTCCACGTAGCCGACGAGGCTGAAGGAGCGGGTCGTGAGGGTTGAGTAGGTAAGGCCAATGTGCGGTGTGGAGATGAAGCACTGCAGGGCGCATTGTAAATCCAACATGTGCTCCCCTTCAGGACGCTTGGCGTACTGAGCGAGATGGCTCGAGATGTAGGACAAGTCAGGCCTGCATGTGACTGCCGCGAAGAGGAGACAGCCGAGCTGATGATGGTACAGTTGGTGACCGGATGGGTTAAGAGGTGTGGTGTTGGGGAGATGTGGGGTGGCCGAGTTGTGGTAAGGAGTTGAGAGGTTGGCAGGTTTGATGGTGAACTTGGCTGCGAGAGTCTCAGCAGTGTGGAGATGAAGCACTGCAGGGCGCATTGTAAATCCAACATGTGCTCCCCTTCAGGACGCTTGGCGTACTGAGCGAGCTGGCTCGAGATGTAGGACAAGTCAGGCCTGCATGTGACTGCCGCGAAGAGGAGACATCCGAGCTGATGCTGGTACAGTTGGTGACCAGATGGGTTAAGAGGTGTGGTGTTGGGGAGATGTGGGGTGGCCGGGTTGTGGTAAGGAGTTGAGAGGTTGGCGGGTTTGATGGTGAACTTGGCTTTGAGAGTCTCAGCGGTGAGGAGATGAAGCACTGCAGGGCGCGTTGTAAATCCAACATGTGCTCCCCTTCAGGACGCTTGGCGTACTGAGCGAGCTGGCTCGAGATGTAGGACAAGTCAGGCCTGCATGTGACTGCCGCGCAGAGGAGACATCCGAGCTGATGCTGGTACAGTTGACCGAATGGGTTAAGAGGTGTGGTGTTGGGGAGATGTGGGGTGGCCGGGTTGTGGTAAGGAGTTGAGAGGTTGGCGGGTTTGATGGTGAACGTGGCCGCGAGAGTCTCAGCGTACTTGGAGGCAGAAAGGTGAATGGGATCAGCAGAGTAAGAGATGCTGAGGCCCAGAAACTGAGTGACTTGGCCGATGCTGGTGATTTCAACGCGGTTGCTGAGGTTTTTCTCGAATTGAGTGAGGAGGTCGTTGCTGGTTCCGGTGTAGAGAAGGTCGTTGACGTACGCCGTGAGGATGAGATAATCTCCGCGGTAATGGAGGCAGCTGTATGAAACCGATGTCGAGTAGGATTTGGTGGAGGTACTGCTGCCAGAGGCGGGGCGCCTGCTTGATGCCGTAGAGCGACTTGCGGAGCTGACACACGCGATCGTCGCTGTCGCCGTAGGTGTGAAGTTGCTCGATGAAAATGAGGGCATCCACGGGGGCGTAGAGGAAGGCGTTCTTGACATTGATTTGGCACAGTGGGAGGTGTTTTGCGGCTGCGATGGCGAGGGGAATGATCGAAGACAATGCCGTGGCACTGATCGAAGCCGCGAACAACCCATCGGGCCTTGAAGCGCTCGATGGTGCCGTCGGCGGTGGTTTTGACATGGAAAACCCATTTGCCCGAGAGGACGCGTCTCCCCTTCAAGGCAGCTCGATCAGCGAGGACCCAGGTATCACGAGCTTCAAGCGCAGCGACTTCGGCATCCATCGCGGTGTGCCACTCCTTTGCGTAGGGGTCGGTGAAAGCTTGCTGTGGGGTTTTAGGTTTGACTGCTGCAGGGCGATACTGCACCGTGCAGACGCGGAGCATGGAGACGTCGCCTGGTTTGCCGGTGAATTTGAGGTGAGGCGAGAGGTTGTCAGTGTTGGCAGTGATGCTGGGCAGGTTGTGGAGACGGACAGTGTGATGCATGGCATAGGGCCAGTACTTCGCGTCGACGTCGCTCTGCTGCAGAAGGGCGCGAACCTTGGTCATGAGGGTGCGGTTGGTGCGTTCTGCTACTCCTTGCTAGGGGTGGGCGTAGGGGAGTGAGAGCGTGTGGAAGATGCCCTTGTCCTCCATGTAAGCTTGCATTTTGTCATTTTCGAACTCTGCAGCGCAGTCAGTCTGCCAGATCTTGAGGGTGCAGCCGGACTGGGTCTCCACGTTGGCATGCCAAACCTTGAAAACGCCATACGCCTCGCTTCTGTGGGAGACATTAGCGACCAAGACGAAGCGAGAGTGAGCGTCGACGAACGGTGAGGTGAGAGTGTATTCTTCACCGTTGAGGCCGGTCTTGGTGAGCACGAGAAAATCGCTGTAGACCTTCTCAATATTTTCGTAGCGGTTGGTACCGGGTTGAAGCAGGTTGAAGGGCTGATGTGCGAGTGCAGCTTCAAGACAGATGTCATAGTCAGTGCGACGGTAGTGTTGACTGGAACGGGAGTGCCGTCTGGGCGGAGGAGAGTGCCAGGAAGAAAGACATGCGCGCAAATGCAGTTGTTGAGGACTTCCTGAGAGGGGTGACTAAGGCGCCTGTGCCAGAGATCAGGTTGAGCACGCAGAGCAGGAGAGCGTGAGTAAAATGCAATGAGGGTGGCTATGTCACGTTCACTTGGCTGTGGGATGGGCTGTGGGGAAATGGAGAGACCAAGAGCAAGAATGATTTCACGAGCGGTGGGGGTTGGGTTGGCTGCGAGGGGTGTGGTGACATCATCGGTGTCTGGTGTTTCTTCTCAAAGGTCTGGGCAAGGCATGTGATGAGGCGATAAGGCAGATATTGCTGGAGGGCTTGGAGCACGTGAGTCTGAAGGGCCGATGGGCGTGGTTTCAGTGTGGAGTGGGCTGCGAGGATAAGTGCGGTAAGGCAGTATGGTGTCGCAGTCAGTAGGGGGTCGTGAGTCTGTGGAGTCTTGGGAGGCGCATTGAGATCCCCAGGAGTCACTGGCGGGTGTAGTGCCTGGGGGAATGCCAAGAGGACGTGGTGACCCATAGGGTCCCCTTGCTTCAGCTGCTGCTTCTTGTTCAGCGCGAGCGATGACGGCTTCGATGGGTTCTTCTTCCTCTATTTTTAATGGTGCTGGGTTCCCCCATCCTGTTGCACTAGGTCCGCCTCCCCATCCTGTTGCGCCAGTTCCGCTTCCCCATGTCGTTGCTCTAGTTCCGCTCCCCCATCCTCCAACTGCTGCAGCTGATGCCGCCTTTGCTTCCTCTTCATGACGCTAAAACTCCTCGGTGGTCATGGTGCGATGGTACCAGGGGTGTTGGACGTGATAAGTCTCCCAGGTCATTGGTAGGGGGTTGTTGTCCCGTATAGCGAGTGAGGAGATCTAGGTGATCATGGACGGTGGGGTCAGTCCGAGTCTTGCGCGGCTGGAAGATAGTGAGTGCTGCAGCGAGTTTTCCGTCGCGCATGCCAGATGGGTGAGGAGTCTGCCATTCCGATTCCTCGACGATGTCCATGCCAGCAGGCTAGATGGCTGGTCCGGCGTTTTTAGACGACTCTGAGTCTTCAGGGGTCTATTCTGAGGGTGTGTTAGTCTGTGCTGCTGCGGCTGTGAGGCGTCGTGCTGCTGCAGCGGAAGATTCTCCTTCGTCAGCTGGTGCTTTTCCTTTGTTGGGAGTGGGGATGAGATGGCGTGTGGGTTGCGGCGTTCTGTTTGGTCTGTCTGAGGTGGAGGATATTGGGGTGCGGCATTTGCGGCAGAGTCCGTCAGATCCAAGTGCGTGCATATCGATTTCCTGTGGGTGAGCGTGATGCTTGATCCAAGGGAGACCGTCTGGGTGCGTGGGTTTGCGATTCCACACGATGTCTTAGGGCTGCAGGTCGATGAGGTCCCCTGAGTTAGCACTGCAGTCTGAGATGTTGAAATCGAGAATGTAAACGCTGTCTTCGGAATGGGCTCTGCCGATGTATCACGGTTCGCTATTTAAGTTGCTATAGTCTTTCCAGTGCAAGACTATGTCGCGTGTCTCAAGGTCAGTTGTCATGAGCACTCCACTTTGCATGAGTTGGTCGTAGGAGAGGAGGTTGTATTGAAGGTCGCGCACGATGAGAACGTTGTTGAGCGTGATGTGAATGTCGTTGTCGTGTGCTTTTAGAACGACGATGCCGCATGCTCGTGCTTGGAGTTGCTGATTGTTGGCCACCGTGACAACGGTGGGTTGTGGGATGGCGCTTGCGTTGGAGATGTAGCGCTTGGAGCCCACTATATGCTGCCCGCAGCAGCTGTCGAGGTACCATGTGTTGTAGGAGTTCGCGCGATGTTGGGCCGAGAGGGCCAAGTTTGGTGTGTTGCGGAACGGAAGGCGCCGATCGCTAGCAGCTCAGTATTTATACGCGGGGCACGTGTCGATGTGGTGATCGTAGAAATAGCTGGTGATCAATGGCAAATTGAGAAAGTCTTTGTCATGCGGTGGCGACTCCAGCAGGGGCATTGGTAGATCCCAATCTTATTCGTATTCGTCGGAGACGAATTTTCATCTTGCGTGAATGGATTGTTGTAGCGAGTGAATTGGACTTCGTGTCCTGGCGGGGTAGGAGAAACCTATCGCAGATATCACCGATTGGTGCGGCGAGTGCGGCGGGGAATGCGCATCGTCATGTTTGTCAGAATATATCTGTAACTGCCTGTAGCTGTAGTTAGTGTAGTTATTATAAACTTTGTTTGGTGGTGCACCTTCTTTGTTCCTTTGCTATATGTTCTTGCAAACCTATAGTGAAGCCCTCATTCTCGTTTCAGTTTTCTCATGGTATTCAGAGCAGGTACCTTCCTGCTGCCTTCCTGCTTCCGCTGCCTATCGTCCTGCCGCGCGCCTCGGGCGCGCAGCGTGTTTGGCGCACGGCGATTTTCTGCCCGCCGTCTGCTCGGGGCGCACGGCGTCTTCCTGCCCCGCGCGTGGCCTGCCCTCACGCCGCCTACCGCTCTTGCTCGTCCCGACGCACCTGCGGGACCCGGGCGTCGCCGCTCCTGCTCGTCGCGACGCCCCTGCAGGAGCCGCACGGCGTCGCCTTGCTCGTCGCGACGGCCCTGCGGGACCCGCGGGGCGTCACCACTGCTCGTCGCGGCGCCCCCTGGACGACGCCCCTGCTCGTCGCGGCGCCCCTGGGGCGTCGCCCCTGCTCGTAGCGGCACCCATTGGGCGCCGTCCCTGCTCGTCGCGGCGCCCTCCCCCCTGGCCACCGCCTCTGCCTCGCCTGCACCCGCGGCAGCGTTGCAGCCGCGCGCGGGCCTACCTTGCACCAACGCCGCCCCTAGAGCAGCCGCCCCTGGAGCTGCCGCCCCTGGCCACTGGAGCAGCCGCCCCTGGTGCAGCCGCCCCTGGACCCCGCGAGCCGCCCCAGCAGCAGCCCACGGCGCCGACCCCACAGCTGTATGCGCCGCCGCTCCTGGACTCGGTACGGCTGCCTGCCTGTGCTGCCCGTTGCTGCCTGTTGCTGCTCGTGCCTGTGCTGCCTGTTGCTGCCTGTGCCTGTGCTGCCCGTTGCCGCCCGTTGCTGCCCGTGCCTGTGCTGCCCGTTGCTGCCTGTTGCTGCCCGTGCCTGTGCTGCCCGTTGCTGCCTGTTGCTGCCTGTGCCTATGCTGCCTGTTGCTGCCTGTGCCTGTGCTGCCCGTTGCCGCCCGTTGCTGCCCGTGCCTGTGCTGCCCATTGCTGCCTGTTGCTGCCCGTGCCTGTGCTGCCCGTGCCTGTGCTGCCCGTTGCAGCCTGTGCTGCCCGTGCCTGTGCTGCCCGTTGCCGCCCGTTGCCGCCCGTGCCTGTGCTGCCCGTTGCCGCCCGTTGCTGCCCGTGCCTGTGCTGCCTGTTGCCGCCCGTTGCTGCCCGTGCCTGTGCTGCATGTTGCTGCCCGTGCCTGTGCTGCCTGTTGCCGCCCGTTGCTGCTTGTGCTGCCCGTTGCTGCCTGTTGCTGCCCGTGCCTGTGCTGTCCGTTGCTGCCTGTTGCTGCCTGTGCCTGTGCTGCCCGTTGCTGCCCGTTGCTGCCCGTGCCTGTGCTGCCCGTTGCTGCCTGTTGATGCCCGAGCCTGTGCTGCCCGTTGCCGCCCGTTGCTGCCCGTGCCTGTGCTGCCCGTTGCCGCCCGTTGCTGCCCGTGCCTGTGCTGCCTGTTGCCGCCCGTTGCTGCCCGTGCCTGTGCTGCCTGTTGCTGCCCGTGTCTGTGCTGCCTGTTGCCGCCCGTTGCTGCCTGTGCCTGTGCTGCCCGTTGCTGCCTGTTGCTGCCTGTGCCTGTGCTGCCCCTGCCTGTGCTGCCCGTCGCCGCCCGTTGCTGCTCATGCCTGTGCTGCCCGTGCCTATGCTGCCCCTGCTCTTCCCCCTTCCCCTTCTTCGTCTCCCTGCTGCGCGTGCAGCCATGGAACAGAGGCTATGGGGGTGGCGGGTACGGGGGTGATGGGTGTGTGTGATCCCCTTCCCCTCCTCGTCCTTTCTCTCCCACTGCTGCAACTACTGCTGGGGGGGTGGGTGTGAGGGTGTGGGGGAGCTGGGGGAGAGGTGCTAGGGTTGTCGAGGAGTTTGGAAGGGGGAGTTGGAGGACTGAGGAAGGTTCCAGGAAGCAGCCGCCTTGGAGCCAGAAGCTTCACCTGCCAACAGCTTCTCCTCATATAGTCCCTCCTCCTCACTTGCCCTCTCTTTCTGCTGCGCTTGGTGCACCCCTTCAGGGGGTGTCTCTGCATTAGCTTTTGCTGCAGGCAGTTATGGGGGAGTGTCAGAATGTATCTGTAACTGCCTGTAGCTGTAGTTAGTGTAGTTATTATAAACTTTGTTTGGTGGTGCCCCTTCTTTGTTCCTTTGCTATATATTCTTGCAAACCTATAGTGAAGCCCTCATTCTCCTTTCCAACTTTCTCGACATTCATCAACCCTAAACCTAAGCTACTAAGACTCTCACTAGCCATGGCTCCTAAGTCACACTAGTATCTCAACAATGTTGCCCATCACATGGCGAACGTTATTGTTGCTCTGCGGTGCACGCTGAATGTCAGATTGTGGTGGCGGGCGTGGGGCAGACCGATGATCCAAAGATGGTCGGCTTGCCAGGGGCATGTGATCAGGGCTATAGGCAGACTTGTTGCGCGGTGCGGAATCGTGTCGTGGTCTGGATTGGCAGCGTTCGGTAGAGTGACCAAAGGCTTTGCAGTTTTTGCAGTAGTATTGTCGCGGCCGTGTGTCGGAATTCCTCTGTTGGTCGCGATCGGAATAAAAGGCGATTTGATCCCGGCTCGCCCTCTTCTCTTGGTTGAAATCCATGTCGTGCTGCTCGTGCAGCAGATTAGCGAAAAGATGCACTTCGAAAATTATCCCTTGTTGGCGAAGTAGCAACTTGCAGGGATTCTAGTGTGGTCCCAACCCTCGAAGCACGATGGTGACGAACATGTCATCGGAAACTGTGTTTCTGAGCTTTAGGAGTTGATCGTGGACGCTTCGGCAGCAGTAGATGTAGGAGTTTGCTTTCTCGCCAGGTGCTATCTTGACTTCCATGAGTTGCTGTAGGAGGTGACTGGAAGACACTGAATCTTTGGGTTGGTAAGTTTTGTTGAGGTAGCTCCAGAGGGCCATGGCGAGAGCTTGGTGAGTTTTGTATGTTCGAATGCCGAGTTGTTCACTCGGCACCATGTTGCGGAGTAGGACGCTATACGCCATGAGCGACTCGTTGTAGTACTGACTTTTTACGACATCAGTTTCGCTGGGAGGGCCATCGTAGCTTCCGTCAAAGTAGCAAAACATTTGCGCGTTGTGTTGAAGTAGCTCGAGCTCGAAACTCCAGGTGTAAAAATCTCGCCCGCTAAACACGGTGCTGATTCGAATCTTGGAGATAGTTAGAAACTTGTTCTGAGCTGTGAGCACGGCTTCGTCACTTGGACGAGGGACAGTTGGAGCAGAAGAGTCTGATCGGATATCAAAAGTGGTTGGGCTCGGTTCCTTGGTTGGAACGGCCGGTTGATCGGGTTGCTGAGCGGTTTCAGGGTTGACGATCTTCAATTCTGAATTCCCGATTCCAGCATAGAAATCCGCTGGATGAGTTGCTCAAGTAGCGTATTGCTGACAGTGATAGTTCCCGCGGAATTCGCGGTAGGGTTGGTGTCAGACTTTATATTATTTATATTTGTAACTGCCTGTAGCTGTAGTTAGTGTAGTTATTGTAAACTTTGTTAGGTGGTGCACCCTTTTGTTTCCTATGCTATATGTTCCTTGAACCTATAGTGAAACACACTTTCCATCTTTCCAACTTTCTCGATCCCCTCACCCTTGGGCCCAACTCACTCGATACCTAAGTTGGGCCTAGGCTCCTAAGCCTAGGCCCTTACATTCTAGTTTCTTTAACATGGTAGCAGAGCGAGTTTCGTCCTGGCCTGTGGGCCCGCCCAATGCTTCCGCTGCTGTATTTCTGGTCACGCGCCTCGGGCGCGTGACGTTTTTCTTTTCTACCCGTCGCGGACCTGCTTCTGGCGCCCGCGACGGCGCCCTGAGCCGTCGCGGACCCGCCTTTGGCGCCTACGACGGCGCCCTTAGCCGTCGCGGACCCGCCTCTGGCGCCTGCGACGCCGCTCTTAGCCGTCGCGGACCCGCCTTTGGCGCCCGCGGTGGTGCCCTTAGCCGTCGCGGATCCGCCTTTGGCGCCTGCGGCGGTGCACCTAGCCGTCACGGACCCGCCTTAGGCGCCTGCGGCGGTGCACTGAGCCGTCGCGGACCCGCCTCTGGCACACGACGGTGCCCTTACCTTCAACTTACCCGTCGTGCGCCCCTTGGCAAGCGACGGGCCGTTCCGCACCCGCTCTCACTACAGCCGCCCCTGACCTACCCGCCCCGACACATGGTAGCCGCTCTGCGGCCTTCTACCCGCCCACCCCCTCCTCCTTTGTCTCCCTGCAGCCGTGGGGGGGAGGGTATAGGGGTGGCGGGTGTTGGAGTGTTGGGTCGTTCACTTCCCTTCCCCTCCTCCTCCTTTCGTTCCCACTGCTGCAGCTGCCGCTGGGGGGGAGGGTGTGAGGGTGTGGGGGAGCAGGGGGAGTGGCACCGGGGTGGCGGGTGTGAGGCAACCAGCAGCCGTCCCTCCACCTCTCCTCTCTTCCCCCCCTCTCTGCTGCTCCTGCAGCAGTGTGGGGGAGGGGGAGGAGGAGGGTGAGGTGATGGAGGGGGTGACCAGTTAGTGTCAACCCGCCTGCAGTACCTGCTGTTGCTTGTTTATCATCTTGGTTGTGTTGTTTGTGTACCCCTGCAGGTTGTGTTCTGCACAAACTCCTGCTGCAGGCAGTTATGGGGGAGTGTCAGACTTTATATTATTTATATTTGTAACTGCCTGTAGCTGTAGTTAGTGTAGTTATTGTAAACTTTGTTAGGTGGTGCACCCTTTTGTTTCCTATGCTATATGTTCCTTGAACCTATAGTGAAACACACTTTCCATCTTTCCAACTTTCTCGATCCCCTCACCCTTGGGCCCAACTCACTCGATACCTAAGTTGGGCCTAGGCTCCTAAGCCTAGAAGAGGGGGTTGAACTAGCAGGAATGGGGATACAAATAGCAAACCCTAGAAGGGTTGTACTCGCTATAGAGCACCCCACTACCGGCTAGAACATAAGATAACATTCTGACACACCCCCATAGCCAAAGTGGGGTGTAATCAGCAGAGCAAGCAAAGCAGTACAAGCTCAGGGTGAATCACAATGTCACCACACATTCTGAGCACAAGTTCAAGAAGCAATAGTTTAGAGTTCACAATGATGAGCAAAGCTAGTGGTAGTCACAACGGGCAAGTGAGGAGGAGGAGAGAGAGTGAGGGGAGAGGAGATAGGAGGCGACGGCTGAAGCTGCAGACACACGGGCAACAGGAGGCACACTGGCACAGCGGCTACTGGGCGAAGTCCCCGGAATACAGGAGTAACAGGCCCCGCGGCTAAAGTAGCGGCAGACGAGCAACGGACCCACGGGCGGCTGGCACAGCTGGCTACGACTGGGCTACCGGACGAAGTCCCCGGACTACAGGTGCTGCTGGCGACACGACGGCAACCTCCGTGCAACTTCCCAAAACAGTCCCACCCCCCCTGACACACACCCGCTGCTACACCCCTAGCTCCACTCCCACGCACCCCCCTTAAACCCTAAACCCCAGTCTCCCACACATCCACCCCCCTCAGCGACAGCTGCAGCAGTGGGAGACGAAGGAGGAGGAGGAGCAAAGGGAGGAATGAAGAAGTGCCACCCCCAAACCCTAACACAGGCAGGGTGGGATGGCGGGTAGGTAGGGTGGGATGTCGGCGCTCGCCCCCCTCCCCCAGGTAGCGGCCCCCGAGGGAGCCGCGACGGGCGACTGGAAAAGGGGGGGCCGGGGCACAAGTAGGGCGGCGGGGCCGCATTTGTAGGGCGGCGGGGCCGCGAAGTTGGGGCGGTGGGGCCGCGACGGGTAGGTGGCGGGGTCGCAACCGTAGGTGGCGGGGCCGCGAAGGTAGGCGGCGGGGCCGCGAAGATAGGTGGCGGGGCCGCGACCGTAGGTGGCGGGGCCGCGAAGGTAGGTGGCGGGGCCGCGTAAGGTAGGGCGGCGGGACCGCGAAGGTAGGTGGCGGGGCCGCGTAAGGTAGGTGGCGGGGCCGCGTAAGGTAGGCGGCGGGGCCGCGACCGTAGGTGGCGGGGCCGCGAAGGTAGGCGGCGGGGCCGCGAAGGGTCCCCGTCGCCCGTCGCGGCGCCTCCAGAAGGCGACGCGGCGAACGACGGGGCAGAAGCCCGCCGCGCGCCTCGGGGCGCACAGCGGGCAGAGAACCGCCGCGCGCCTCGGGGCGCACGGCGGGCAGAAAACCGCCGCGCGCCTCGGGGCGCACGGCGGGAAGAAAAAATGGCAGCAGAAGCGAGGAGGTGGTAACCCACCCACAGGATCGATCCAAGGGGATCGACCTGCTCTGATAGCATGAGAAATTAGAAGAAAGAAGAGGGGGTTGAACTAGCAGGAATGGGGATACAAATAGCAAACCCTAGAAGGGTTGTACTCGCTATAGAGCACCCCACTACAGGCTAGAACATAAGATAACATTCTGACACTTGGCGGGGGCTTCGGCAGTGTTGGCCGCTTGTCCGCCAGATCCTCCAGCCATGTTTTGGTAGTAGCGCGTACCGAACGCCACCTTGAATTTGAATTTAAATCAAAGGTGGTGGTGCAAAGAATCCTGAGTGGCTCTCATACCATGATACAATCTGAACCATCTTATAGGATCGTCTCAGGTTGATCGCACGGAGTGTAGCAGCGGAAGATTGCTAGGTAACGTCTATTACGGACTCTGTCAAAAGGA